TCTGTGCATGTTTTATAGAACCAATGAATTGGAGCCAACATCTAATATTTGGCAAGCCTGCAATAAACAACACCTCCCATACACACACACACACACAACACATAGAAAAAGAGAGAGAGGGAGGAGGAGGAAAATTATCTTAGAGAGAGTTCTGAAAGGTCAAGGATATGAACTAATATTATTCGTGTTTCCAAATAATCTAATTCCTTTGAAACAACGGAAGTAATGACGATTATAGATAAATTATTTATAAAATTTCTGAACATAATATAACCAATGTGATGCAACAATTTACGAAACGACCATGCGTTACAATTAAATCGTTTGATAAGGACCGTATGTATGTATAGGTAAAACAATAGACAATTAGTATCCATATTTTTGGGCATGCTAACAAATGGACAATATATAAAGATCTCCCGATTTAGTGCATACATGTACATGGTAAGCATACTTTTGAGATGCGATCGATTTGTGAATGTAGCGTTTAAGAATGAAGCTGATTTATGAACAATATAATATAACAACTTAAGTCCTAAATAATGTAATAACAACGGTAACAGAAATTTAATTCGTAGCAATTTAATATAACTAAAAAGGTTTTAAAAAATGTTACATTGTGAATTAATATCTCGTTACACTGTAAAAAAAGATCAGAAAATTCAACTCGAATTGATGTAAATCAATTCAATCTCAGAGTTAAATATGGTGAACTAACAGTCGGGTTGGGTCAAGAAACATTTTAGCTTCCTTTAATATCTTCCTTGTGTTAAATAAACATTGAATTTATTTCTATATAATATTTATAAAGTTGACTAAACTATTATTGGTATACTAACCAAAATCCCCCTTACGGGGATCCTAAAGCGTGTAACGTAAAAAAAACATGTAAGAAGCAAAGATTGTACTAGCAAATCAGGCAGCCATTTTAATAAATAAACTCAGCTAATAAATTCTATTATACTATTAATTAATGCTATCATTATTCGCCTTATAATTATATCATTAATATTAAAAAATCGCGGTTTCTCTCTTCTTTTTTATTATATATACATATATAATAGAAATGATAAAATATTAGCGTTCCGTTATTCACTACGAGTATTGAAAATTTATAGTTTACGTTATGTATATTATAGATTTCCAATACTCGCAGTGAATATACATCTAATAATAATGAGACTTTTTTGATGACAAATTAATGTATTAGTCCCAACAGTGGATAATTTACCGACGTAAGCTGTGGTATCCGCAGATTTTGTAGTAAAGAAAATCTCAAAGAAATGCTAGCGCCCACTAGGTGACCACTGTGGATAATCTTAACATATTATTGATTTTTTTATAAATTGTAGGAGATAATAATTTGAAGTATAATAAATATACGATTCAAATGTCATATTAATAATAAAAAGATTACACTTATTTTATACTTCTTTTAGGTACGATACATCGATACAGAATTGAGAATGTAATAAAGTTAATAGAAAATTAAAATTAAATAAAATTCTATGGAATTTTTTACATTTACAGTATAATTATTTCATTTAAACTGTAAAGTTATAATAATTGTACAAGGGAAGTCATGAATCTAATAATAAATATAATTGATAATTTAATATTGGGTGTACAACTTTGCTTCTGCCGTTTTCCTATAGATGGCTTTAGCGATAAGTGGTGGTCGAAATAAATAGATCATAGACATCATACAATAAACTTGGACATCTGTCAACATAACCCCATAGAAACGTTAGTCGATTTATGTCTGCATCATAAAGTTATTCTCGATTGAAAATGTCAGTTTATGAGCCAAATTCTCATAATTTGCAGAAGGTTTTAATTTTCTGCTTCAATATGAAGAAATCTGCAGCTGAGGCTCATCGAATGCTCTCAAATACTTATGATATGAGGCCGCTATTAGTCAAAGAACGTGTCATGAGTGGTTTCAACGCTTCAAGAACGGTGATTTTGACGTCAAAGACCGGCATAGCGGTGGAAGAGAGAAGGTTTTCGAAGATGTAGAATTGAAGGCATTACTTGATCAAGACTCGTGTCAAAATCAAGAAAAATTGGCACGATCATTGGGAGTGACTCAACAAGCCATTTCAAAACGCCTCAAAGCTATGGGAATGATTCAGAAGCAAGGAAATTGGGTAATAATTAATGTAATAACTAATGAAGATGATTCGAAGTAGAGTCGAAACATACGATGTTGATATATGTATCAGATAATATATTTGATGAAGATTTGTAATTATCGCTTATTACATCCAGCGTTGACTCCTATAGCCTTTTGATATTGCAATCATTATTATTATTATTATTATCAATAATTATTGTAATTAATAATCAAAATTTGTCAGTGTTATTATTTAATTGTAATTTTTTTGCGTATTTCTAAATATTTTATAAAAATATTCACAAATTAATATAAAATATTTAATGAAAAAATATTACAATTATATTTTTCTTATATAAGAATGTACTCGTAAATTCTACCTATACTAACATTTTCACATATACCTATTTAAGGCCGACAATTATTACAAATGTCATATTAAAATTCATTATTCAATCCATTAATGTATTTATTACTGTAGTAAAATGTATACGAATATTACGCATTTGCAGAACAAGTTGATTGCCATTTATATGATGATTGCATTAGTGATTATAAGCGTTTGAATAATTTATAATTATGTTGGGTAACATATACGAGCTCTTTTGCACATTATATAGTATAAGTCAATTACAAGATAATGTTATTAATAGTAAAATTTTAGGTTTCACTAATCGCATGCTATTAAGGAGATCTTAAACCGTCTGCATTACCGACTAAATCATATAATTTCTATATAACAAATACTTTTTTTAGTAAAATAAGATTTCATTAATCGCGAAAATAAATACGACCATGCTTTCAACATAAATGTCATCGCTCTGATATAATTAAATCTTTCGGTATATTTCAATTTTTTTAAATAATGTTAGTTACTACTAAATTATTCAAAATTTTATAATAAAAGAATATTTTTAGCACTATTATTTATATTAATTTATTCTGCTCTGCAAACGAACTCTAAATGATAACGCAATTTTTTTAACAAACAAAAATAGATAGATCTGTCCTGTTCCCAGATATATCCACATCACAAGAAGAAGGGACGTAAATAAGTAACAAGCCGCAGGCTATATAGTGGGAGAAGAAAAAGAAAAAGAAGGAAAATAGATGTTACAAACCAAATCAAGAATCAATAGATAATTTTTTAGTCAATTTTCATCAATTACCATTTTCGATTTTTCGACAAATTTGAATAGAAAGAATTATATTTTGATATCTTGTACTATTCTTAAAATATGAATATGAATATAAATAAATATGAATATGAATAAATTGCAATGATGTAATGTTATAATTCATCATAACTACTTTTTAACCACAGTCATTATATTCATTATAATTCCAAGTTTAAGATTATATGTGCTTATTTACGAAAAGATGAAAGCAGAACATATTCTTGGCAACATAAATGCAATATTTTTCTACATTATTCAAAATAATATGTACATATATCTATATTGCTCAATAATACATATATCGAAATTGTTACGATACAATTATTAGTACGTATAACACGAACAGATTATTTTATTGACTTCACATATAATCAGTCATTTTGTTCAACAAATCTACTAAGCAACCAAAAAATGCATCGATTTAAAAAGTAGTTCTAGTTGAAAGAGCTACTGTTTTACCTGAACAAATAGATAGGGGTCGCAAGATAATCGATTTTAATGGTTAACGAAATATTAATTATTAAAAATCGCTAAATATTGGTTTATAATAATTTTACTTAAATACTATCAACTTTACAGAAAAATTGCAAGAGACAAAAATCATTAATTTTCTTCTCATAGAACTTTAAGAATTTTTTCAGAATTTTTTATCAACCTTTTAGTACTGTGTTTTCTTATTTTTACCACCATGAGAAAATACGGTATTAAAAAATTCTGAAAAAATTCTGAAAAAAATTTCAGAACTTTATAAGAAAAAAATAAATAATTTTTATCTCTTGCTGTTTTTTTGTAAAGTTAACAGTATTTGAGTAAAAAATTATTGAAAACCAATATTTAGCGATTTTTAGTAATTAATCTCGTTAATCATTACGAAAATCGAAAAATGGTAAAGGAATTTTTGACTTAGTTTAGTCCGCTCTACCTGCTCGAGATGGATGATGCCGAAATTTAAGGACACCCTGTATACAATAACTTTCTCACGATTGCCAGCTGCGCTTTTATTCACAAATCTAACTTTATTTAAAAGCCTAAAATTTTTTACCCATAAACGCGGGAACAAATCAAATGTTATGTGTTTATTTGAGTATTCAGAAAATCGATTTCTCGTAAAAACTAATATCGTATAAAATATATAGAAATATTTAACTTTCCATATGTACTAGTAACAATACGATACGGTTTCTTTATTTAAATGTTGTGTTATTTGGAAGATAACATTTATATTGCATAAGATATCTAAAAGACATCTTTTAAATTTCTTATGTCTAAAAGATGTCTTTTAGATATCTTATGCAACATGCATGTTATATAGGAAGTCACAACAAACTTGGAATAAGTACTACAAAGAATTTCTATCTTTAATTTGATAAGTTCATATATTTTCAATTTGTTAAGAACATATTCAAAACAAACATATCATAGAGACAATGTAAAATTAAGAATAAGGATTAGATAATACAGTATATATGGATACGATGTTATTAGATATTAATAATGCTGGAATATGATGACTAGGAGAACTCGTCTAGAGAACGGAAAGAGAATGAGAAAGAGAGAGAAAGAAAGAGAGGGGGGAGGGGGAAGAGGGGAGGGAGGAGGGGGAGGAGAAAAGAAACTTATCTTTATAAGACCAGATACGTGATGGCTCGAGAGAGGACATCGATAGTGTTCGAAAATAACAACAGTATCTAAAATAGCTTTCTTACCTTGTACATTCTTGTCCTTGTCCATTTCCTTTGTAAGATAAGAGGTAAAGTGCACTACCGTCTCTTCAAATCACTGCATCACGAAACTTTCCAACTTTGACCAATCTTGAGCCGCAGCGCGCGTATTGATTTTAATAACTTTTCGAAAAGTGTGCGCATTTGTTGTAAATGAACTAATCACCGATGCCAGATTTACTGATAAAGGAATCCAATAATAATGCAATAAGAAAATTTTACTCCAAACAGATCGATCGTCCTTTTTCGAATTATTCAAATTCGGAATTAATGGAACCATTGGCGACAATGAGAAAATTCTAAACTAATGTATGATAAGAGTGTTTTCGATTTGTTCATACTATATATCCATCTGCGTTTCATAGATCACGCAATGTGAACCACGAAGAAATTCAAAATCGCGATAAATCGATAAAAGCCAAAGAATCTGTCACGTAACTGTGACGTGATATGTATAATGTAGTGTGTAGTGACTTAATTTAAATTACACGAACAAATTCGACATTTATGCTCAATGTATACACTTACACATATTCATTCTTTATGCATAATATGATTATCTTCTTCTTATTGCGCGCGCACAGACCTAAATTTAAAATAAAACTTTTAATATTTGTCTTGATTTTCGGATCATATAAAATCAAGTAATGAGAGAAAATGATATCCTGTACTTATATTTTACACACTTTTCCGATATTTTTAAATAATTATTTAATGGATTTATATACAATGATGTGCGTGAATTAGATGTTAGAATTTAGCTAGTTAAATAACTAGCTAATAAAAGGAATAGATAAACGGCTAAAAAAATTTGTAAACCAAATCTCTCCTTTCTTATATATGTTATTAACATATAATCAAATCCTTTCCTTATTTTATTTTCTTATTTTCGTTAACACATAAGCTAAAGTAAATAAGTTATTCTACACAATCTTTACAATCTTTAACATCAATCAAAACTCTTTCTCTCTCTCTTTTTTAAAAATTATCTATTCTTAAAAAATATTCTCTTTTATTTGTAAATAATTTTCTATAGATTTTAATTGGAATCTATGAAAAGTCGCACTAATATAAATAAACTGATAAACAATATAAAAAAAAGAAATTAATTAATCTAAAATAAGATGCGTATAAAATCAAAGTTTTCCTTCAAAAAGCTTCACTCGCGAAATAAAATAATATTAAGTATATACGATTATTATATACAATTGATAGACAAATAGTTCTCATCCTCTTGCTCCTCTCTTATAGACGTATCTATATAGCCACGCTAACACTTAAAATGCGCAATTCCGGAAAAACTTTAAAGAAAACAATTGCAAAAACGGCATCACATGAAAATGAATATTCCCTATAAATTCATACGGAATTGCAAAAAATGTAGTTTTTAATTTCTAATCGTTTTATAAATTTTTAGCTAAATCTATTAGAGAAAAAATCTTTCTGAACATTTCAACTGTTATAGTTAAAAAACGCGAAAAGAAAAGAGATTATGATACATATCAATCATAAATATAATTATATGTACAAATTTGTCAGAAATAAAATATTATTTCGCCGAGATATAATTTGCTCGAAAATAAACTCTTTCTCTATCAATTTTTTCATTTGAAGCTGTTTTATATTAGGACTGTTATTTTAGCGCCACGACGTAACGCGAAAAAGGAAAACATAACAAATATTGAAGAGCAAATCGCGACGAGTGTGAGAAAATGACGAGAGGATTAAACCGACAATTCACGAAGATTAAATCGACAATTCACACGTATAACATGAGACTGAAATGAAAAGCCATTCGTAATTGGTGTTTTAATCCTTTGACTTTTCTACTAGAGTGATTTCGAATCGGGAATAATGGAGAGAAAAAACAAATAAAAAAAGAGAAAAAGAGCGTTAAAAAATAGCAAGAAGTAAGAACCACCGGTTCTTTTCTTCCCTATCTTTTTCACTGATATAACGGAGAGCTTATGAGTATATACATATACACTAGGACGATGAAGAATGGCGGATAAAGAGGAGTGGTGGGGAGAGAAAAAGCATAAGAAGCGCGAGTACACTCCGCACGCGGCTACACGCGACAGAAAATAATAGAAGCGGCGAAAACGGCGCGAGAATGATGAGAGGTGATGAGAGTGATGAACAAAACAAGGGGCAAAGGCATTGAACGCGTGCGAACGTTCGTTCGTTCGCTCTGAATTCGGAGTTGTGGGAAACGCGCGTGGTAATGTGTCTTGAGGAAAATAGTACGGCAAGACTACCACCCGACTACGACGAGGCGTCATATAGGGTAGATAAAGTCGATGCACTTCGACGGAATGTCGTTGGACTACTGACGATCCTGAGAGAACTGTCGACTGGACGCGGTAAACGCGGTGCGGCGCGCCGCGTCGCCGACGCCGACGCCGACACCGACGCCGATGACGACGACGACGACGACGATCCCGCGAAAATCTGATATGCGTGCGCACGAATGGCGAATCTCTCCGTTCCTGTAAAGATCCACCGGTTCACGACTGGTCCATCCGGCCATGTGAAATGGAGATCTCCGCGAAAAAAGAAAGAAGGGATTAGATTTTCTCTAGAGCATAGAAAAAGTGAACGGTACGAACGACGATAAATTTCCTTCTTTGCAACTACGCCCAAAAAACATAAGAGGAATATGGAAGTAAAAAGGGGATCAACGTTGGACTTATTCGTTGATATGGATTATATGAAAGATGTAACAGTAGAATCAAATTCAAACTATTGGATAAATGGAATAATGTGATAATTTGCTAATAATAAAATTTATATTAATAACCACTACAAATTATTCTAATTAATAAAAACCGATTATATATAGAATCATTGAAATATAAATGTATTTGTTTTTAAAATATCAATATTTGGACTCCTTAAATTCATTAACAGTGCGTAAATTAATCCAGCATCCTGTTTCCCAAAAAAGAGGCATAATTATAGGACTCACAGACAAAGCGTTTCTTTTATCACATCCAGAGTTTCATCAAGAAAATCTTGAACTAATAGTACAGATGCTTTTGAATAATGACTATCCTATGCAATTCATCTTTGACAATAGCAAAAAGAATTAAATATTTAACCAATAAGAAAACTTTGAAACAAAAATTATAGGAAACACCTGAAGTCAGACAAAACACAAGTGGCTTACCTTCCCTTATATTAAAGGTGTTTCTAAACAATATAAAACCGTGTTTAACAATATACAACAAAAAGTAACTTTTTATAGCATGAATAAATTAAAGCAGTTTATTAAAGTACATAAAGACTCTGCCGGACTCTAATAAAATGAATGTAGTATATAAAATTGAGTGTATGGATTGTGATGCATCCTACGTCGAACAAACTAACAGGAAATTAAAAACGAGAATATCAGAACATTTTAACCATATACGTAGAAGAACACATTCTGTCATTACAGACCATAGGATGCATCACAATCATGATTTTAATTGGAATGAAATCAAGATTCTGGATGCAGAAAGAACGTACAATAAAAGACTCATTTCAGAAATGACACATATAAAAAGTAAAAAAAAATAGATTAAATTTGAAAACGGACACAGAGGGCTTACATCAAATTTACAATGATTTGGTCAATTATTTATGACTTTATGTACAATGACTTGATTAATTATTTCTGACTTTATGTGTACGCGCTGTTTAGATATTTATCTGTACGACCTATACGTTTTAACATAATGTACATCATTTTCGATTAATTCGTCATCTAGTCAATGTTTAACGATAATTTAAATTTTAATTCTATTTGTGACAATTTTATATATTTTTTAATGATTGACTTGTGGGAAAGTAATGCATAATTTTAATTATTTGCTTTTCATTTGGTTACAATAGTTGGAGGTGAGTAATTGGTACATTAATAGCAAAATTAACTACGCTTATTACTTCAACAATTTTTATAATAATTATAATTAAGGTACATACAATCCTTTCCAACGAGCTTAGAAGCTAGTATACTAAGGATGGGTCTTGTTCCTCCCACGATTGTGACCAGAAAAAGAAACATTAGATGTAACAATGCGGTTTGATTTGATACACAAAATTATAATAATTTAGTTTCTTAATATTGTCATGATTGTTCACGCTGATGATGGTTCAAAATTGAACCAAAACGTATGTTTTGAAATTTATTTATGTGTGATCAAGGTTTTTTGTAATAAAATAATTTTAATTTAATTTACGCACTGTTAACCGCGCTGACTCACATAGCCTTTATATTAATTTATTGTTTTGTATTTGTTTTTATTATCGGAAGATCGGTAAGCGGATCCTAAAGTTGTCTGTATCACCGACTAAATCATATAATTTTTGTGTAACAATTGTACTTTTTTCCTCTTTTACAGATTCAAAGAACTAATGAGTAAACCTTAAGCTTTCGAAATCTTTTTCGAAGGATTAAGGTTTACTCATTAGTATGTGTGTGAGATGGAGTTTATACCAAGAACGACAAAAAATTTCGAAGAAAATTTGAAATCTTTACAATTTCTTTACGTCGTAATAACATTTACTTTATATAAAAATTGTGTAATTTGTACTTACGAAATAGCAGTCCATAGACTAGTAGTTTGTACGAAGAAACAACGTGGAGTTCTTAAAATTGGGCTTGGCCGTCTAATTAAAACGTTATCGTTATACGAAAATTTATGTGATATGTGCGTGAGATATTGATATATAGTATGTAGTGATGTGTTAATGACACGTAAATCGTCTGTGTGTGAGTGCTATTTACAATATGACTAATCCCCTTAAATAAGTTGGCATCAGCATTACCCGAGGTATGCGATTGACAGCTAAAACCTCTTATTCAGGATAATGACCTGGATATTTGTAATGCCACCCAAGGTCAAACTAATAGTACCATTTTATCTCCACCTCGAAGTCAAAAAACTTTTATTGAAAGCATTTTGCCCTAAAATGCACTGTTAAAGAGATATTTAAGATGATCGATTAAAATGGAACACTCTTATACATATATTTACATACTTACATTTTACATATATATATATATATATATATATATATATACAGTACCCTTCATAAGTTTGGGAACACCCTACGTTTTACAGGAAAGCCATTACATGACAGCGATCTAAAAATGTTTTTGGTTTAAATACTTCGTAAGACGTCTAAATGACGATAAACATTTATCTAGAACACCTATAAGCTTGTACTTACCGAAAATATGTTGGACAATCACTTCACAGCATCGAAGCGCTCAAGATTGAATTTCACGCTTTGATCTATTGTTTATATGTATACGTCACTTGTTTTACAATATCGTACTTGTATTCATTGTATATACATAAGTCATTTAATTGTAGTTTAACAGTTTCTATAAACGTGGTAAACTATTTGAGTCGCAAGTTGATTTTTCAGACTCCGTAAAAATTATAAAATTGCCCCGAAGAATCAGATTTCGTATGAATCGCATTTTAATTAAAATTCCATATTTTAATGTTATTAAATCTTTAGTTAAAAAAA